GAATAGTGTCTAAGGCTATAACTATATTCGGTGGTGCATGGTCTTTTGGGTTGCCTTCACCATAGCAACTTGAAGGATGATTTATTAAGAGAGAGTAAATATTATAAGGAATATATTTAGCTATTTGATTAATATAAGTCATAAATTAATTGGTATTAATTTGGTGACTTAAAGAGATTAATTAAAATAAGAGGGTATAAACTGTCAATTGTTTGATAGTTAGACTTTAGACTATAAATCCATTAGGATATACCTTGGACGGATTCTAAGAGCTTTAGGATAGCTCAAATCGTCCATAGGGTTATCTATGGAATGGATTTGGATAGCCTTAAGAGAAGATTATCCAATTAGGGTTTAGGGTGAAACCCTTAAGGAGTCTAATAGTATAAATAGACCCTATGGGTGAGGGAATTCGACACACAACTTAAGCAAGGAACTCTAGGCGAATTCCTCCCCTCTCCTCTCTCCTAAATCATCTTGCTTGCTATTGGTGTTTGTAAGCCATTAGAGGAGTGACAATTGTGACTCTAGATGCTCCAAGACAAACAAGATCAACAAGGAATTCAAAGGTATGATTCTAGATTTGTTTCAATATTGTTGTTTAACCTAATTATCCATTAGAAGTCTTGGATTCAAAAGCATGTTTATTAGAAAGCCTAGATCTAAGCATTAGGGTTTTGCATGCGCACATAGGAAAGTTCTTATGGCTAAAACCCATCAGTATATTCATTGGAAAATCACTTGATTATGGAAACATTCTCTGGATGACTTCATTACTTATGTTGGAAGAGATACTCCCAAACAAGGACTTATTGAATTAACATGTGCAAGGTTGTGGTCTCTCTACATCACGCATCTCCATTCTCAAGCAAAATTCAGCATGGACGCAAACATCAACTACTTCTTCTGTAGAGAACCTACAAGGTATTCTCCTCCTAAGGATCAATCTATGTTCCGTCCCATTAGATAGCTCCCATTGCATATTTTGACCGAAATAGGACTCATTGACCCTGCAGTTTCTGACCACATGGATGCTACAAATGATATAACACCATATCATTCTAACTTGCCTACCCTACACTGCAACCCACTATTCCTAATGCAAAACCTAAAACATATAGAGGAAAAGTTAAGTCCAAAAGAAAGACCCCAGTCAAAGTAGTCAAAAAGGGTGCTAGAGCATCAAAGAAATCGAAAACTGGTACCCTAGCCACCATCCACACTGAAGAGCCCATTAACACTGAAGAGCACATGCATGCCACATAACAAATCCACATTGTAGACCCTACAGAAGCTCAAATTCCTATCATCACTGTAGAACTGATCAACGTTAATACCATATAGATTTAGAAATCTAACTTGAAGACTTTGTTGAAACTTCCTACACTTCTAAATTAAAAGCGATCTAAGGAAGATATTGGAGTATCCCAAATGTCTCGAGTAGCCATTCACTTCAACACTGAATCCCTGTGAAAATCCCATCCATCCACTCTGCTACAAAAAGTGTAACAGTTTTAGATTATCAAATGGAGACAATGCCTATTCGGAATTACAATTTGATCATGGTGTCATTAAACGTCCTAAGATCTCTGGGATAAAGGACTTGAACTTTGTTACACATGTGGAGTAAACTCTATTCTTTTTCAAATCACACATACATATCAAACACAGAATGCATAGCAAGTTTCTTTTTCAGGGAGCCTAGCCAGAAAGAAACTAAAGTCGAACCTGGTTCAGGACCAAGGAGAACGAGGAAGTTCTGGATTCCTGTACCACCAACATTACTCTCAAGAGGTTTAGAAACGAGGAGCACCATTGTGCGAGGGTTCTTAAACCCGGGGGACACACCAATGGTTACTTTTTTATGGAGATGTTTCAGATGATAGTTGGACCTGATATCATCCAAGCACGGGTTTAGCAAAAATGAAGTTTGAAGCCTTCAAGTGAGCCCTCAAAAAAAGAAAGGCAAGGCAGAATCAACAACAACAACAAAAGGAAGAAGTAGATCATCTTGTTGTAGTCTATTGGGTGAACATTCTAAAGGGGTGTTTGGGTAAGCTTATTTTTGACTTATTTTCCGAGCTCATTTTTTATAAGCTCATTTTCTTTTACTTATTTTTCATTAATTCAGCTTATTTTCTTAGTGTAAGTCATATTAAGCTCAAAAGTTGAAAAATAATTTAGAAAAAATCGGCTTATAAAAAATAAGCTTGGAAAATAAGCGATAAATTAGCTTAGCCAAACACCCCTTAAAAACGTAAAGAAATTTGTTGACCTGAAGAGAACTCGTAAATGGGTAAGGAATATGGAATAATAATGAGAAAGGCTCGAGAACTAACCATAAATCAAGTAGGAAGTTCAAGACCTGTTCCTACGCCAACTGAAGTAGGAGGCTCCAACAATGATGGCACCGAAGTGCAACTCAGTGAAGAAACAATGTTTGGATTTCATTTTGAAAATAAAGAGGATGAAGTACAAAAAAAAAAAGAATTATGATGATTTATTAATGTTTCTTGAAGATGACGAGTCAAGTGGATCTCATCACCCCACCTCAAATCTTAAGACTAAAAGGAACAAACAGCCATCTATGTTGAGAAAAGAATTCCTTGATTTGAAAGTCACAATAGATAAAATATTAATTGTAGTTACAAGTACTCAACCACCACAGACCCTTGCCTGGGCTACACTTAAGAGTTTGGAGGAAAAAATATTGGCTCTAGAAGCAAGAGAAAAGTTCATGGCTGAATGCATCTGGATTCTCATCTAAATATGCATTCGTCAATTAGATGTCCGAAGACAAGAAAACCAAAAGAAAACCATCACTTTCTGTAAGTTTTTCAAATCATTTTTTCAAACATAACAATGGCGAAATCTGGTGTTTCTATGAAAAAAGCTAAGCATACGCTCATCTTCCAAAGTCAAAAACACTATGCCATCGATCGTTACAACCAACTATCGAGCCATCTTTCAAGATCATGATCACTATGATCCATCCATCAAGCTCATCATCAAATTCATTGTAAATCATCCATTATTCAATACCTTCAACTCCATTGCATATATTGTTCTACTTTTAGTGCTCTATATGTATGTATTTTCTCCATATCGACAACCTGATGATCCAGAACTGATTTATCTCAAGTTTGATGACGCATCAAATATAGTTCTCACCAAGAATAAATTTATCGATGCAATCAATCTCATAATTCCAGCCAAGACGGTGTTTAGGAGTTCCTCCAATGAAGATGTTTTCAAATCTCTTTACAAAATGGGGTACCAAGAAAAATTAAAGGGAGTTGCGAATTTCAAGAAAGGCAAACTACCAACCGTGTGGTAGTTCCTTTGACAATAAATTATTTGATCCCTTTTAGGTCAAACCGTTGGTATAGATGCTATGAGAAAATAACACTTAAAGATCTTATGGAGTATCTTCATTGGAAAATCAGTTGATTATGGAAACATTCTCTGGATGACTTCATTACTTATGTTGGAAGAGATACTCCCAAACAAGGACTTATTGAATTAACATGTGCAAGGTTGTGGTCTCTCTACATCACGCATCTCCATTCTCAAGCAAAATTCAGCATGGACGCAAACATCAACTACTTCTTCTGTAGAGAACCTACAAGGTATTCTCCTCCTAAGGATCAATCTATGTTCCGTCCCATTAGATAGCTCCCATTGCATATTTTGACCGAAATAGGACTCATTGACCCTGCAGTTTCTGACCACATGGATGCTACAAATGATATAACACCATATCATTCTAACTTGCCTAGCCCTACACTGCAACCCACTAGTCCTAATGCAAAACCTGAAACATATAGAGGAAAAGTTAAGTCCAAAAGAAAGACCCCAGTCAAAGTAGTCAAAAAGGGTGCTAGAGCATCAAAGAAATCAAAAACTGGTACCCTAGACACCATCCACACTGAAGAGCCCATTAACACTGAAGAGCACATACATGCCACATAACAAATCCACATTGTAGACCCTACAGAAGCTCAAATTCCTATCATCACTGTAGAACTGATCAACGTTAATACCGTAGAGATTTAGAAATCTAACTTTGAAGACTTTGTTGAAACTTCCTACACTTCTAAATTAAAAGCGATCTAAGGCAGATATTGGAGTCTCCCAAATGTCTCGAGTAGCCATTCACTTCAACACTGAATCCCTGTGAAAATCCCATCCATCCACTCTACTACAAAAGGTGTAACAATTTTAGATTATCAAATGGAGACAATGCCTAGTCGGAATTACAATTTGATCATGGTGTCATTAAACGTCCTAAGATCTCTGGGATAAAGGACTTGAACTTTGTTACACATGTGGAGTAAACTCTATTCTTTTTCAAATCACACGTACATATCAAACACAAAATGCATAGCAAGTTTCTTTTTCAGGGACCCTAGCCAGAAAGAAACTGAAGCCGAACCTGGTTCAGGACCAAGGAGAACGAGGAAGTTCTAGATTCCTATACCACCAACATTAATCTCAAGAGGTTTAGAAACGAGGAGCACCATTGTGCGAGGGTTCTTAAACCCGGGGGACACCCCAATGGTTACTTTTTTTATGGAGATGTTTCAGATGATAGTTGGACCTGATATCATCCAAGCACGGGTTCAGCAAAAACGAAGTTTGAAGCCTTCAAGTGATCCCTCAAAGAAAGAAAGGCAAGGCAGAATCAACAACAACAACAAAAGGAAGAAGTAGATCATCTTGTTGTAGTCTATTGGGTGAACATTCTAAAGGGGTGTTTGGGTAAGCTTATTTTTGACTTATTTTCCGAGCTCATTTTTTATAAGCTCATTTTCTTTTACTTATTTTTCATTAATTCAGCTTATTTTCTTAGTGTAAGTCATATTAAGCTCAAAAGTTGAAAAATAATTTAGAAAAAATCGGCTTATAAAAAATAAGCTCGGAAAATAAGCGATAAATTAGCTTAGCCAAACACCCCTTAAAAACGTAAAGAAATTTGTTGACCTGAAGAGAACTCGTAAATGGGTAAGGAATATGGAATAATAATGAGAAAGGCTCGAGAAGTAACCATAAATCAAGTAGGAAGTTCAAGACCTGTTCCTACGCCAACTGAAGTAGGAGGCTCCAACAATGATGGCACTGAAGTGCAACTCAGTGAAGAAACAATGTTTGGATTTCATTTTGAAAATAAAGAGGATGAAGTACAACAAAAAAAGAATTATGATGATTTATTAATGTTTCTTGAAGATGACGAGTCAAGTGGATCTCATCACCCCACCTCAAATCTTAAGACTAAAAGGAACAAACAGCCATCTGTGTTGAGAAAAGAATTCCTTGATTTGAAAGTCACAATAGATAAAATATTAATTGTAGTTACAAGTACTCAACCACCACAGACCCTTGCCTGGTCTACACTTAAGAGTTTGGAGGAAAAAATATTGGCTCTAGAAGCAAGAGAAAAGTTCATGGCTGAATGCATCTGGATTCTCATCTAAATATGCATTCGTCAATTAGATGTCCGAAGACAAGAAAACCATAAGAAAACCATCACGAAATATGAGGAGTTTCTGAAAGATGTCAAAGATTTAAAAGACCAACTAGTTAGGGTGAATGCGGAGCAGGAGGAGCAGACTAAGTAACTGATCCACTAGACCCAGAACGCTTATGATGCTGGGTACTCTGAACTACAAAAACTATCAAAGGTCTAAGAAGATAGATCATGGAAACGAAAACAATTGACGACATCCAAGTAGTGATATTCTCGATTACCTTAAAAACCCAAGCGTAATGACAACAAATGAATTAAGCATGCAGATGCTCAACAGGTTCTACTGAACCTACCATCTACTAGAGGAGGCAGAAGCATTGTTTGAGGTGAAGGGAATGCATTCTTCCTCAAAATGGCAATAGACCCCAATAGTTGAACTCAACTCTTCATTCAAAAGCTATAAGTCTCTATCACCATAAAGACATCAAACTCCCCCAAGAGACAAAACTCCACCACAATCTCCTAAGAAGTCTTTGTTGGTTTCGGTGTCTAAGTTCATAACTATTTCTAGAATGTACTTGACCCAGTTGGCATGGTCCATTTGGGTTGCATGGCATTGCAACACTGGGATGGACTAAATGAGAGAAAGGACACTTAAGGATTATTAATATATTATAAGTTCTAATATATTAATAATATTATTTAATTAGTATTGATCAAAGAACTAATTTGGAATTAATTAAGTGATCAAAAAGAGACTAATTAAATATATGAGGTTGATTGTGTAAATTATCTATTCTTGTATAGTGGGCTAATGATCCATGGTTTATATGAATTGGGTTAAATCCTTATGGTGCTCCATGGATAGTCCATGGAGGTTACAAACCCATGGATCATGGAATATGGAAAGCGATGACAATTAGGGTTTACATGGTGTAACCCTACTTGTGACACAACTATATAATGACCCCAAGTCTAGAAAAATCGGCACTACAAGTAAAGAACAAGAGGGCTAGCCGATTTTGAGTGATTGTGAACTTCTCTCATAGTTATTCTAAGTGTTGTGGTGTTGTGTGAGACATTTGAGGCATCGCACTTAAGGTGCTAGGCTCACAAGGTTCTCAAGGAAATCCAAGCAACAAAAAGGTATATTCTTCTACTAGCTATTATGATTCAAAGTTCCCCATGCCATGCTAGTTAGGTTAAGAACCTTGGAAATTCAAATTTTCATGTATATTAGTAAAAACATAGATCCAAGGTTTCTAGGGTTGCATGTACACCTTAGGAGTGTTAGAATCCTCAAATCCCTTTAGTCTCCGCCAAAAGAAAAGATTGAACTCCTCGTCAATATCCAAAGAACCAAACTCCACCTCAGACCTCACCATACAAGGAAGGAACTCCAATACCATCAATGTCTTCATAAAAAATAGATGATTCCCCTTCCATAAAGCAGAGAAAAACAGACTGAAGTGCTGCTAAATTTACTTAATACATCTGGAAGGAAAAATGGATTGACATCCAAATGGATGAGACTTTAATCCAATCATGGATGAATCCAATGCGAAGACTGTTAGATACAGACTTTGTCCTTTATCTAATGTATGTTGAGCCTCCTACCAATAGATATTGTGATATTCCTCTATCTGCCAATGCAAAATACTTCTCAATCTTCGAGCGATTTGATATTCGCATGCCAAATAAACGCAGACTTCCCCTGGCGTTTTAAAGGTTGAACTTGTTTCATAACAAGCATGGAAAGAAAATTAAAGAAATATGGTTTAATGATGCCCTAGAAGCAGTCAAAACGTTCAAGTCTCACTCATTCAAAAACGCAACATACTATCAATCCGTTCTCCCTCGCTTCAGCAAAGAATACCATCGCACTCAAGCAAAATTCGTCTTCATAAATCCTAAATAAATATTTGCAATTGCAAGGATGTTCAATAACAAGACAGAAAAACATCACAACTTGAAACCTGTATATGAAAGAGCTTGTGATTTCCTCAAAGCTTTTCTTTGTGAAGATTGATGCGGAGATATACCTTCTATGTTCCGAAAATATGAATTTGCCTCCTTTTGAACATGCTCCAGTTTTTACCGAAGGAATTCAAGATCTAATCCTTGGATCTAGAAGTTATCCTACTCTTGGGATCGCTTTTTTAAATCTCCAGAGATACTGAAAAACACTTCATTCCAACAACTGGTTTCATTGGTTGTCAAAGAAATGAAAAGTCCAAGTTCACCACTAACAAAGTAAAGTTTACACTAACAAAGAGAATTAAGTGGATTTTTGTAGTCAGGAAGCTTTGGTGGCTCATGATTAAGTTTCTCAAACTTAATCAATGAAGAGGATAGTTGCGAGGTAACTTAGGAGGAAACTGTTGATACATGAAAGTAACCTAGGGTAGCAATGGGATTTATCTCGAAGCAAAGACCTGTTTTGAGTAGCGACGAGTTATAAAAGAGAAGTGTTAGCGAAGAGTAGATTGCGTAGTCCTGACTAGAGACTTGAAGACCGAAGATAAGGAGACACAAAGAGTAGAATTTTTTTTTCCAGTTTTGGATACCGAAGTGTCAGAAAAGTAATGATCACCTTTACCGACGTTGTGTGGTAGGTTGCGTTTGTCAGTCCCAAGTATGGCAAGCAATGTTGTCTAGATAAGGAATGTTTTTGTAATATCTTAGTTAGAGACTTGTACTATATTCTTGCTATAAATAGACAGTTGTGTAAACATTTAAATGTATGTCCGAATCCATCCTTTCCTCATCATATCAAATACAAGTCTCCTTATTATTCTATTATCTTTGTTCATACTTAGTTGTTCATCACTAAATAACTTGTGTTTACTTGCAAACCAAGTTATGATTCAATAAATATCGATTTAACTTGCTTATATTTAATGATGTATATTGTTGTTATGTTTCCTTCATAATCCTGCTATGTTTTATCGTTGAGCTTTAAAAAGATCCATGTGAATAACTTAAAATTTTCACTATAATCTCTTTATCATTACGTTCTTCTCTCAACACGTCCTTTCCAAGTGAAAAGATGTAAGGGTCCTGCACTTCAGTAAAACTATTTTGCGGTTTATATTGCATAAGTTGACCCTTTTATTTAATCAAATCTTACTATTACGGCTCAATTCATTCCAATAAGGAACAATTTTATCTGTTACACATGGAATCTCATAATATTCTTTGGATTTTGAAATATGTACAAACTGGAATCTTAGTACGTATCTCATGGTGATTCGCCCTTGGAGACCGTGAACCATTTCTTTGTCTCTTGCCCGTGATTTTTTTAGTATGTGTTTGGCATCTTTTTTGTAGATGGATTAATATTCAATGTCCTACCTCTATCCCAATTGGTAGTTCAATGAAGTTGTTGGATAATGTGCATGTTAATGATGACCTGATAAAATGTTTTTGATGGAGTCATCATCTTTATCATTTGGGTGTTTTGAATGTTTCTTAATAATTGTTAGGGCCAGGATCCTTAAAATACTAAGGATCCTCAAATATCTAGGATCCTCAGCCACCTCAGGATCCCGATTATCACTGTTATTATTTTTATTAACATTCATAACGGATATATTTTGTTTATAACTAATATATGTGCAGAAGTAATCAAGGGAAGACCGATTCTCAACGAAAAATCATCTCAACAATGCTAAAGACCCGGAGTACTTGGTCAAATAATGTTCGTGAAGCTGGTCATAGAGGATCCTGAAAATATCAGATATTTTGTTGGTTAGTTTAGACTATAAATTGACACTTGTATCTCATACTAAACACATTGTTTTTTTTACTAGAAACTTACTTTAATATTATTTGTAATCGTCATTTTACAATAATAAAATCATCAACGCGTGTGACAATACCTCCTAAGGTTTTGTGCCGGAAATCCTAACAAATATCAAAGGCTTTCCTTATAATCCATTGTGTCACTCTCTTTTATCATTAAGTATTGCATAATTCAAACATCATACAATTTGGTTGATTAGTACTTGCATAATTTTTCGAAAGCACTAATGTTGCTTTTTTTTTTTTTATTTTTTTTTATTTTAATGTTACAGCTTAAAAAATTGTCTATCTTTCATGATATTATTTCATTTTTTTCTTGGGTTAACAAGAGTCTTAAGACTTGCAATTTTAGTTGGATTGAGTATCTTCTAATCCCACGTCTTAGTTCTATGACTTTATAGTTCTCTTTGTTAGCCTCCGCAAGTTTTTACCTTATTTTTGTTGTTCCAAAAAAAAACTATTTTCTAAAGTAAATGTAAAACTATCTAAATATTCTCTACATTAGTTTTTATATTACATCTAGTTATCTGGTTCTATTTTATAATCCAAAGTTTTCTTTTGGTTAATGCGTTAATGAAACTAGGAACAATTAGTAAAGTTAAGTATGGATAATATGAGTTATTAGAAAAAAAAACAATATAACCAAACGAAAACAACGCATTATTAATTAGTCTACGACATGTTACGGATTAATAGGATAAGATTTTCTAGTAAAAAAAAACAAAAATCTTCGTACATGAAAGTAGGACATCGAGAACAGCATATACCGAACTAAGGATATAATTTGCTAAATTAATACGTTCGATTATTCTATTACGCAACATAAACAAATTGAACATTTGCTTATACTTTTATTTATTTATTTATTTATTTGTTGTTGTGGTGTGTAATATCAACTTGTTTCGGTCTATATGATGCATGTACATAATCCAAAAGAGATATCAAAAAAATGAAGTCGTTGATGTACTAGATTCATGCATTTAAGCACATTAACACTTGATTCCACGAGTGATTCGACCAAGTGCATATATATATATATATATATATATATATATATATATATATATATATATATATATATATATATATATATATTATATATATATATATATATATATATATATATATATATATATATATATATATATATATATATATATATATATATATATATATAACAGGTGTGAAACACGTGTATTACAT